CAGGATAATGACCAAAAATCACACAGCTAAAAAAAAAAAAAAAAAAACACACACACACACACACACACACACACACAAATGTATGAGACTATTCTGAAGTAGCCCTTGATGAGCCCTGATCTCAGTCCATCTGTGAAGCCTGAGACAGCTGAGCAGTGTGCCAATAAGGAAAGGGTGTAGATGTGGAATGTGGAGTGCATTGAGATTTATATAAAGTGATGAAGAAAAAAAAACTAACAGTATCGCCATCATTTTTGTTCAAGCTGGAAAAATTACTTTTTTGGAAACTATTCTCTTGTCCACCATATCAGGGTGTGCACTGCCTCTCGCCCAAAGTCAACTCGGATTAAGCTCCCTCAATCCTAGTGAGTATAAGCACAACAGAAAATGCAATACATTATTTCCTTACTTAATTTTCATCCATCTATACAGCCATTTTCTATCAGGAGTGTCCTCAGTGCTGTGGTGATTTGCAATCAATTGCAGTTGACTAAAAAAAGCAAGAGGTAGGGTACAAAATTCACACTTATACTACACTCCCATCTATGGATGATATGAAGTCTTTAATAAACCCACCATGCATATTTTTGAGAATATCGGAGGAAGCTGAAGGACCTGGAGAAAAAGCATGAGCTGCACACACTGGGACCCGACCCAGCTTTGGAACCTCTACATCTTTTTCTTTTTCTTTGTTCTACATGTGCATGTCACACTCCCTTAATCGAAAAAACACACTGCAAAAAATGTGATACTCCAGTGTGTATGTAAAACTCTAGCAAGAAAAACACAATAAAGCAAATCAACATCTACATCATCTCTGCTTTCCAAGAAAAATTGGACTTTTTTCCATTCAGTGTCTGACCACCTTCAATAAATGTAACCTAGTATGATTAAAAACTAGCTTCTTTCTCATACAGGCACACACACACACACACACACACACACACACACACACACACACGGTATATGACATCACTCAAGGCTTCAATTGGCATTCATTTATTATTGCCCTCCCCATAAATGAACAATCATATCCATTTAGCCATTGCTTGTCAAAAATAGCCACTTAAATGGTCATAATTGGATCTATTTCTGTGGCAATGCAAAGAATGGCTAATTACTACTTGCACTCAAGGCCATATTCTCCATCCAGTAGAAACAGAGGAGACAGACTGCGTTTTAGCCACGAGGCTCCCCTGCAACTTAGAACCAACATCTTTCTTTCATTCCCCAGTCCGAGTGCATTCACACATCCGAAAACAGCCCATTGGAGATGGTTCACTGCCAAGTGAGCACCCTCCATCCCAGAAACAAACACTGAAACAATATTGTGAGTCAAGCTGTTGTTTGTTCTCCTGGGCAGCAATCTGACTGTAGCTGTGTGATTCCTCCCTCACAAAGCTTACCCTTGTTTGACCCATTTCTAAAGAGTGAGTGCGGATGCTAGGAAGTGATCAAGCCGCAGCAGGTGGGATGAAACAATGTGCCAGTGCCTCGAAAAGGCTTTCCCCACCGATCGAGGCAACAGCAATTGACAAGTGAGGGGATGTTTTGCAAATAGCACAGCTTTGCGTTCAAATTTTCAGTGCGTCGTTTCCTGACAAGATCCGTTTGCGTGATTTCTTTGTCTTATCATCTTCATCTCTGGTTGTAATTTAATTTCATGTCGTTGTTTTGTTTTGTTCATTATGAATCGGAGCAGCATACATTACTCCTTCGCAGGTCAAATCCAAAGATTGGCTACGTAACTTACACTGTCTGCATTCACTTGGCTAATTAAGAGCGTCGTGGCTGTGCACATTCCAGAGCAGATCAAACAGTCCCATCTTGATGTGGGAAACAGAGGAAGACGAATCTCCACCAACACTGTTATATCATAATCCTTCAACCTGATTAAAACATTTCAACAAGAAAAAGGATCGTCTGGAGTGGTACCGCCGCAAAGCTACTCGATGTAGGAATACTGTATGGCTGCGGCCTCATTAGTGAGAGGGGATTTCGTTTGGAATATCTCACTGTTCACTTTCAGAGAAACGGGCCGTATTTACTGTTGATTTAAAAGATCCAAAGTGAACATCTGAAGCTTGCTCCCTCTGTCCTTAATTGCTGGCTCCGCTTGTCCATGACTATATCCACTTTATTACCGGCGCTCATTACTGGGCAGCAACAAGCAAAGTCTCTTTCTTCACCGCATCCATCTCTAAACGCTGCATGTCTCCGTCATTTTTCTCGCTCCTTTTTTCTAGATAGAGCACAACTCAATCAGAGTGGCAAACGTTCAAAAGGATGAGACTGTAATCCTGTTTTTACTTTCATTTTCCACATATTCAAAAGAGAAGATCGCTGGAGCATGCACTTCTTAAAGGATAGACTCAGTGGTAAAATTAATTGAGGCACTCGAAAAACAATACTTTAAGTGATGGATCAAAAGTTTTTAAACAAAAATAAGACAATGAGGCAACATTTTAGAAAGTTGTCAGAGTAGCCTGTGCCTGTGTTTTTCTTCTGTGACATGCTTAAATTAATTTTGAGGTTGTGTTTTTGCAGCACACATTTTTTTTTTTAAGCGCTTTTGAAGTCGGGGTCTTGTTGACTCCCTGATTACCATTGCTGTCCTCAACTCGTAGCTGAAATGCTCCCATGCTGCTAATCTGAATGAGCTTGGAGCATCTGCAATTTCAGGGATAGTAGTTACTGGGTCACTGATGGTATAGTGATACATTCGCCTACCTTCAGTGTGGGTAGAGCGAGTTCAGTCTGACTCACTGATGCTGTGAAAGTGAGTGTGAATGGTTGTCTGTCTCTGGATGTGCCCTGTGATTGACTGGTGACCAGTTCAGGATGTCTGAACATCTGAAGTCAGCTGGGATTGGCTCCAGCACACCATGACCAGCAGTGGAGATGAAGTTTGTATGGCGGTTGGTAAGCCCTCAAAAATATAAAAGGGACAGAAGCCAAAAAATTTGTATGTTGACAAAAATTAATTGTCCAACGATCAAACGGCGGTTTTTCCTTGGCCTTGAAGTTGATCGCTACCAGAAACACTTCTTCTTCTTCCCGGCAGCGTAGATGTCTCTAATTTGTAAAAAAATCATATTTTTACTTTTCATGAATGAAGGGTTAGGTGAACGTGAATATGAACTGATTAGGTTGGGTACCTCTAACAAGGTTAAGAACCACTGCTCTAGTGTTAATGTCTCCTCCATGTTTTTTGTTTTCATTTGTATTTGTGTATTTTGACTCTTTGTCCAGTTCAATAAATGGCTGACAGTGCGCTGGTGACGGTTACTCTCCTTACTGTTTACTTTTTTACCCTCTGGCATGAGCAACAATATACATACACAAACAAATGCACACTCACAATAGGATCAAAGAAGTGAAGAAATGCAACTAAGCACTTAAGCAGTAATTCTTGAAGGCCTCGAAGAATTCTATACAGAGTAATCCAACCCGATGTGGATCACTGCTATTCCCACAGGACAGATTGCGACTTTTACATCAACACTGGGATGACCTTGTTTCCCCAGGACCCTCTTGCCCTTCCTTCCTCACCATACAAACACATTAAAGGCTGGACAAGCCTCACCTGATCTATGTCACTCAACACATGGCCCTGGAGTTTGTCGTACTGTGCTGTTGCGAACAATGTGTTGCTACGATCAATTTGTTTAAATGAAGACAGCAAGAGCATTAAACGGTCAGGCAGAAAATAAATAAATAAAGTAATAAATGCTTAAAAGCAAATAATAAAGAAAAAGGAAATCGGCGCCATATGTGAAGATATCAGAAAATAAATGGTGTAAAAGCCAGGCACAGCTTGCTATACTTTCGTGACAACGACAAATACGACACACACGTGTCAAGTAATCATTCATTGTAAGGTACTAATATGGCCGAAATCAATCAGAGCAACATCCAAAGAATGTTAGCTTGAGTCCCAACAGGCAACATGTTTGCAGAAATTATATCTGTGTCTATCATCATCCTGTGACATAGGCGGCGTTGTCTAGTTTTCAACAGGTTGCTGGGTCCAAAGCGGTGGGATTACACAGGAGCTGACAGCTGTCTGCTCCAATGTGAGGAAACCACATGGCATCCATCCAAATGATAGCCCTGACACAGGTCAGTTTTATAGCGCTTTTCTTTTTTGTCGTCCGTTGTGGAAAAGTTCTAAATTCTCAATCTCCAGGGACGTTTCTATATATACAGTGGTACCTCTACTTATGAAATTAATTGGTTCTGGAAGAAATTTCTGAAGTAGAAAATTTAGTAAGTAGAGACGCGTTTTCCATGTAAATGCCCTAATCCGTTCCAAGCCCCCCCCCACCCCCACCCCGCCCCAAAAGAAATTCAGGCATAAATGTTTTCTAAAGCATAAAAATGCATCAAAGTATGTAACAAACACATGTTACAATTAGATTATTGCACAATAAATGAGAGTTGTGCATAATGTAAAAACAAAGAATAAAGAATAAAAATGATGATCATTCCACTTTTAACTGCATCCTCATCGTTTTTTGCCCTCTTTAGTTTATGTTCTCTCTCAGAAGTGGCTTTTACCTGGCGTTTTGTGAAGAACTGATACAAGGACGTTTGCTTTTGTCGGCTTTTAACAATCCAATGAAAATGTCCAAGGCAAAGATAAGCATAGTGAGTGATCGTCCCACTGGTGAACACTTTTTCTGGGTGATTCACATTTACGTAAAATTGTCGAAACGCCTCATGGCCCGAGGGGTGAAAGACGAGGGAGGATAAGATAAGATAAGATAACCTTTATTAGTCTCGCAATGAAGAAATTCCCAATTCACAGCAGCAAAGTTATGAAAGGAAGAAGTAGAAGAACAAAATAAAGGTGCTGGAAAGGCAGCCACTCTCGTGGCGCCATCTTGAACTCAAAATAACAAAATAACACAACACAACACATAAGACACAGACAGTCGTGCAATCTTAATCACTTTTCCTGCATACACTTTGTTGTTTGAAAAAAAAAGAAAGATGCTGCACAGACACATACTGTATCTATTGATTTAACGACACACATAGACACGGTAGAGGTTCCTCTTGGCCAATGGGATACCAGGAAGATGCTCAGTAATAGCCAGTGGCAGAGCAGCTATAAGTATGTTGCATTCAGGAAACTGTGTGTGTGTGTGTGTGTGTGT